AAAAAAAAAATAACGGTCACACTAATCTACATATTTCAAACTTACATTTGTAGCTCAACAAACAGGACACATGCTGAAGCGTACAATAAATGACACCATCACTTTGTGGCCACAAGTCCGCCTCCACATAAAATGGTACACAACCGCACAGTGCCATTGTGTTGAATGTTCGGCAGCTTGTGATGCAATTCGAAAAACTATAATTAGTGAAAGGAACAGCCGTGTCTGACGTATCTTCATCGAAATAGCATTTACGCTGCAAGAAAATTAAAAGAAATAAAATCACAAATGTAAAAAAACCTACATAGGTTTTTTCTTTTGTTTTACCTACGGTTTGTGCACTGATCGAACGAAGATTTGGATCCGTAAATACCAGAAGGGCTCTCAATGCAATAAAGGACTCTTCGCCATACGTTAGAAATAATTCGTGGGATTCACCAGATGTTGTATCCGGGAATATATTAGAATCATGTATAATTACAAGATAACCATCGATTGGTAATATTGCCATAAAGTCATCTTTATGACTGGTATTCAAAACAACTGTCAAGCCCAAATCTGAACTAACGAAACGATCGCGAAAATGACGTTCTTGGTAGCTGAAAATATGTATGTATTAACGAAATAAATGAGAAAGCGAACTTTTTACTAACTACTTACAAATTTCCCGTATTAAAAGTGCAACAGAATCCATATGAAGTTGATCTTTTCTGAAACGCTTTCTCGCCGAAGCAGTCGATTTCAATGCCTGCCAGCTTACAAGTGCGTATGAGGTTTTCACAAGGCGGCGAGAGCTTTTGGGAAATTACATTGGATTTATTAAAGGCGGATGCATCGTTCTAGTTCTAAACTTTTTCTTTCTTGTTCTACCAGAGAGAGCAACACAACAACAACCACATGGAAGAAAAGTTCTGATCTAAAACGGTGAATCCGCCTTAAAAACAGGAACCAAGTTAGGTTAGGTATGCTGTCCAGCCCCTACGTGGCTTCGCAGATACCAATACGGTCCATATTATTACCGGAGCTATGAGATTTTATACTCAATTGATTAAAAACTATAAATAAGCATATCAGTAAAACAAACAAGGTATGGTTAGGTTAGGTTTGGAGGGCGTGCGTGGAATATTCCATACTTTCACTCGGAGACAGAATTGTCCATTGTAAGTTCCCTCCTTAAGCGAATGTTAACATTCTCACCTTCGCTATCTCTCCCAGTCTGTTTAATAAGCGTGAATCCAACTGCAT